TTGTCATTCATGTCTTCAACCAGAATCTTTATAGTACATTGTCCTGATAATGCACTCGCTCCTTTATCAGTTGCTATAACTTCCATATCATAAATCCTGAAATCCTCATAGTTTAGCATTCCTTTAACGGTAATTTCACCACTAGAAGGATTCAGATTAAATGTGTCCTGTGTTTTCTCCGACGTATATAAACTATATGAATACGTAATATCGGAATTTGACCCTTCATCTAAATCTGTTGCATTGAGATGAACAACAAGGCTTCCAATAGGAGAATTTTCCATTATTTTTAAATTGTAGTTTAATTTGACAAAAGTAGGAGTGTTGTCATTTGTGTCTAAAACATGAACAATAACACTTGCAGTGCCAGAACGAGCAGGTGTTCCTCCATCTACAGCTGTGAGTATTAAATTATGAACAGCATGCTGCTCTCGATCTAAAGTCTTTGTTAAGATTAAATCTGCAAACTTCGACCCTTCTCTGCCAGTCTGAACTTCAATATTAAAATGTTCACTTTCACTCAGATGGTACGTTTTCACTGAATTTATTCCAACATCAGGATCAACTGCATTACTGAGAGAGAATCTCTCTCCTTTTAACGCGGCTTCAGATATATCTAAATGAATGACGTCTCTTCGAAACTGAGGGGCGTTGTCGTTCATATCCGATATTTCTACTTCTATGTTAAAAATTCGTACTGGGTTTTCTAGTATTACCTCCAGTCTGAGATAACAAGACGCTGATGACTTGGTATTGCAAATATTTTCCCGGTCAATCTTTTCAACAACATACAGTTCACCAGTCTCTTTGTTCACATCCAGATATTTCTTGTTTGCAATGATGTCAAGACGCATCTTCCTCTGGTTCAGTGTTTTAACATCCAGACTGAGATCGGTAGCAAGGTTTGCTACAACTGATCCTTCTTTCATCTCCTCAGGTATTGAATAATGAGTCACTGAAGTCAATGTGTTACGAACGAAAAAAAAAAGAATAACGAGCAGCACGTACCTTTTACAAGACTGCATTGTTACAAAGGACTCCATTGTTGTGTGCCGGTTTATTGCACTTCAAAGGAAATGACGTACGTTTCCAGAAATATCGATTTTTGCTGTTACGGTCTTAATCCCGAACATATTCTCACAATTTTAATCCCAAGGATATTTCGTCGCTGAAAAGGGTGAGCAGGTTTCGTAGTGGAGATTCAGCACCACCGAGCTGTCCGGTTGTTCAACGATCTGCCCCCACGACAACGATTCACTGTCATGGCGCTTATTCTGGCATTTTACTAACAAAACAGCGCCACCCTTTAGGTTTTCAAGACTATTTAGTTCAGTTTAAAAATATGTACCATAAA